CTACAATTCAACAGCTGGTAGTGAAAAATTAAGAATACAAGAATGGCACGGGAAAGTGACAAAAATAAAATTAAAGCTTCTTTATGTTGAAACGGAAGCATTTTGGTTCACATTGCGACCACAGAAACAACAAAATATTTTTACATTTCACTTTTCTTCAACTTAATTTACCTGAATATCGTGGCTTTCTTCTATATTATTAAAGAAATTGATGAAATTTATATTTTTTATTAATTTTAGACACCTAATCGGCAACAATAAAAAAATTAAAAAGATACAGCTGATAGAATAGCACACTCAAAAAACATACCTCGCCGTGTTGTATTTAAATTTTGTATGGGAAACAACAACAGCGCCGATATGACAGTCATAAAAAAATAAGACAATATGACACCTGGTGAATACCCTAAATATATGCTCAGGTATATATGTAAATATCTCGTGCTCTTTCTTCAAATAATTTGTCTGCCTTTTTCGCTTACATTTCCAACATATACGTATGTCTGGCTGTCGCGCCATTTTCTTTCAATTTATTTACGAAAGTTTTACTTGGTGACTGCCCTAAACGATTTTTTTATTTTCAATTTCGATGTAAATTCACATTTATGCCCTGTAAATGAAGTGGCAAAAAGTTCATCATACGCCATGTCTAACAGCTGTTGTCACTGGTAATTCGAACGTAAATGACTTACATTGCTTTGATTTCAATGAGTTGTAACGATACGCTCACTACATTCCACGCGAAAATTTTAGCTCTAGTTTTGCTTAAGTCGGCACTTGTACGGATAGACGGACAGACGGACGTACAGACAAACAGTCACCAGGATTTCAACGCGACTAGTCGTTCTAATCATATATACTATATATACACTGGATATCTATCTCGATTAGTTTTAGATGTTATCAACAACCATTAGGTCTCGCAAAATGTTGCAAGTGCATAACAAACATCTTTGAGCTCTCATAAGAAATTTAGATGGAGCTTGAAGAATTACCTTATTTTTATCTTACAGCGAGTTCTTAAGAAACTATCCAGGTAAGTGCAATACCGCAGCGCAAGGAAAAAATGTTCTTTATATACGAGTATCTATGTATGTACCTTCGCTTATTTGGATTTCATTCAAGTAGATACCACTCCTCAATATTTAATGGGAGCTTTTTCATATAAGTTCGCTGATTTCTTTGAATCTTTACTGGATCTTGAGAATATTAGTTAAAGCTGTCCTAAACATGCGACATTGAAGATTAGGTATTCAAATCTGAATAAATGAATCGAAAATTAAAAGCGGTCGCCTTGTGTTTGTGACAATGTTTCATTTTCAGTATCGTTATGCAACTGGGTCTCACCGTTGTTATGTCATATTATTTTATAACGTGTCAATGCACTCGACCGTATCAAATGCCATGTGGACCCCAGAGAACCCCTCTATACCAACTCAAGAAACGAGCGTGCAAAGCTATGTGCAAACACAACTTGATTCCCAACTGCGTACAATAAAAGCTCGCTGCTGTATTCATACGTTTCACAGCATATTACGTATACGCCATAGACGTACGCAAATTGTTAAAAGTCATAGTAGTGGGGGCAGTCAGTGAGCATTTCAATCCATCGTGAGGTGAGTGCTTAATTTTTCCATTATACTGGAAAAATGTTAACCCATATACATAGACACACAAATGTAGATGTGTTGGTAATTTTTTGGCTTACCTTTGCGTCGCTTTTTCCGCGCTTGCAATAATACTTTTGTTATGGGTTTTGTTTTATTTCCGCCGTTCTGGTTTTTAGTTTTTCTGCTCTTTAATTCTGTGAAAAGCCCAGAATTGAAGTGCTTGAAGTTGCAGGGCCAGCCATGTGCGTTTAATTGTTCTACTCTTCACGTTGCGCCCATCATCGCACCAACCGGCGTTGGATGGCGAATTGTTTTTTTTAAACTGTCGGCATAGATATTCCTTTGTCTGCACAGTGGAGGTTTAAAAATTCCCTGCTGATACAATCGTGTTGATGGCAGCTGACTGCGACTATGACGGCTGTGGACTTATGACTTTAGTGTACACTTATACAGTTTTTATACCATAAACAGGGTATATTTAGTATACTAGAAAGTTTGTAACACCCAGAACAAAGAGGCGGAGACCCTATAAAGTATAGATATACAAGTAAATAACTGATCAGCATGACGTGTTGAGTCAATCTAGCTATGTCTGTTTGTCTGTGTACACTTGAACCACTCTTTCAGTTTTTGAGATATCGATATAAAATTGCAAAAGTCCTTTTCTCTCTTTACAAGAAGTTGTGCTGTAGTTTCAAGGTACGAGTGTGTGCATACACTCAAGGGCCAAAATTCATGCACGTGATTCATATGTGACACGCCTACAGGCGTGTGCTATTTCATGTGCCTTCAAGACAAATGAGAAATTTATGAGCAACTTTGTGGCCTCTTACAAGCTGCCTACGGGCTTGATCGAATTATCTTTGATTTCCCATTTCCCCTCCCACATAGTTGAATGTAAAGTATTGCTTGTTTGCTGTAGTGACTGTTGTTGTCGGATCCATCAATTCGTTTTCATTATACATGTATATATGTGTGTATTGGTAAAGTGTCAGCTAACGGTAGATGTTGTGTTATACCATCTCATTTCTTATTGATTGTTTTCATCAATGATTTTGTTGTTGTTGCCATTGTTGATTATGATTCGGATAGATAAGCAATTAATACGAGCATAGTAGTCCTTTGTGACAACACGGCGTTTGATTAATTGATATATGAGTTAAATGAACGTATATGTATGCAACTGAATTTAGCACAATGGTGGCGAGTTATTTGCCATCGCTCTTTGGGTAGCTCCAGTTGCATCTAATTGTGTTTGTTGGTATTTTCACAATTTCTACGGTGGCATGTGTGTGTTAGGGATTCTCTTTCTGTAACCTTCTAGTAAATGCGACTGTTTTGTGATGCAACATGTAGATATTCCAAGGTAAGCAGGTGTTCAGATGACAGATAACAAAATTATTTAAATTGAGGTCATCAGCGTTAGATCCCCAAGCTAAATATCGAACATTTTGTGTAAAGTTAATTTTATATTCCAAGGAGTTAAAAACAGAAATAATTTCAGGTAATAATACCATAAAAATACAAGTAAATAAAATCAAAAATGAGAAACTTTTGTGTTCATTAAATTCGTCGTATTAACATTTTTTATAGAGGTGAGAATCTTTACAAAAATATTTTCGTCTGCAAGATTTATTAAACCTCTTTGATCTGGTATCCTTATTATAACGATCATCCGATAAAAATTTTTGAATAACACCTTCCAAATAGTGGCTACACTACTCAAACAGTATTTTTACTTGGAAGCTTTCTAAAGCTCTCAAATTTTCTGTTTGTATCTTATTGGACTTTTTTTTTTGCAGCTATCGATTTTTTGATAATATTTGCAAAATAGTACTTTTAAAATAAGTGGCAACTCTTTTAAAACAAAATAATGCTAACTGTAAGACCACTGCCACGCCCACAAAATGAAAACCAATAAAGTGTCATAACTAAGCACTAAATTCCGAACCACTGAAGCTAACTCAACATGAGAGGAAGTCTGTTTAGCATTTATTTATATACTGTGGAAATGAGTAAAATCAGATAATGACCAGGCCCACGCCCCATATAACGATTATGTTGCAAATTACTAAAAGTGCGATAACTCATTGGGTAAAGAAGTCAGAAACATAAAATTTCACAACCTGGATGGCAAGGAGGGCTTTGTGCGACTCAGTGTAAATTTGTACAATGGACGCGACCCGCCTACTTTTACGTGAAATCCTATTTCTCAGCAACTACTTGACCAATTTCAGTCTGTGAGGTTTTCAACGTATTACTATTGTACCGCTCGGACTTTATAGTAAAATCAAGTCAAAGCAAGAGTATGAAAATACTTCCGGCATGACCGATACATTCCGTCTTGTCCACATCATCATTTTAACTTTACTAAGGGAAAGGGTTTAACCGCAAAATGAAGAAGAAGTCTAACCATCTGGGGTCCTGTATATACTATCTTTTCAATAAGCTTATTGGCTTAGATGTGCCTTTGCTACGTATATTATGTATAAGCCCAACCACTTTAACCTAACAGAATCGTACCCTTGGCTAATAAGTTTGCGACTTTTCCAAAATCAATTTCAGATTTTCACCCACATAATTTTAGCAAAAACTAAATACATGGGTAAAGAGTTACCATCCAACTTTAATATGAATATGGGGGTAACCATTCGGTAACCCCAAATAATACAAGTAGAAACGGTTAGCTTTTGAGCACACACAACAGAAAATGCAATAAATATTGTGCCATATTACCCACAACTCCGACAAATCAGAGGCAATTCGAAGTATCTAAATACTCGTACTGCAGATAAGCGCAAGGCAAATAATTTGATTTGCACTTGAAAGAAACCAAACAAAATGGCGACAATATCATCGCAGAAAAGGCAAAGCAACAATTGCCTGCATTGCAACAAAATTGATGAGATGGAAGTAGAAGACACTTAAAGAAGGCAATTTGAGGACAGGTGAGGGCGAGATAAAGAAAATGTTGATGATGATTTTTAAGGCAATGAGGAGCGTATGCATGCGCAGCACATCAAAAGTAAAATCGAAGTTCTCTCTGCCAATGAGACAGTTCGTTGAGTTGGTGCTGACAAGAATGAATTGGATTGCGAAAACCTACAAACCCCCTACAACTCTAACAAACCAGTGCTATAAATCCCTATGCACATACATACCAATGTATTTGGAATTTGAAGTCGGACTGTCGCCAAAGCAAAAATTGCACTGATAAAAAATATTTACACACTTTCATTGATTGTTGTGTGTTGGCGTTAAACTGGAATTTTCAATTTGCTCAAAACACACACACAGCAAATCCATATGTGCATATACATATATATTTGAATACGGAATTAAAAACGGAAAGTATAAAGTTACGTTATTTGAAGTTGAGGAGCTTTAATGTAGGCAACTTTTTATCTTTTGCTTATAAAAATTTTTTATATTTAATAAAAAGTTTCGATACTCAATTATTACATTGCATTTATATATACCTGCGAATCGCTTCGCATATCCAATCAGTGTGAATGATTGTGATTCTCATATGTATTTCTAATCCCAATTTTTGATCGTACTAAGCAGGTCTTTGATCAATTGTGCCCACGGCATTGCTGACCACCCAATGATACACCGACCACGATACACTAATGGTCATCTTTATGGTACTTTTTCGCATTGAAGAGGGGAAATTAAGTGAGCCGTTGGCGAGTATACGACGGACCTGCAATATAAAGGCAAATACGAGTATATAAGCAGGGAGTAGAAAAGAAATGTATAAATGGAAATATATTGAAAACATTTTATTGTAATGGAAATTCAAGAAAATATGTAAAGTTGTTAATTTTAAAAATTGTCTGATTTTCTTTTGTAAAGGTATTAGTTATGGCACTTGAGAGATATCAGCAACAATAGAATTGCATAGTCTTCGAAAAAGTTAAAAAATATGTCGGCTATTGGCATGAAAAGTATAGAAATTTCAAGGTCCTTGACAGCCATCAAAGAGACCTGCACCAAACCAGTGAGACCGGTCGTAGTAATAGAACAAAGGGTCGAAAGCTGAAAGTATATGGACCCGAAAATGCGCTCATATATTTTCAAGGCCTCCCACACAGCCACAGCCCAATGCCCATCAAAGATAGGTGTATTTCTATGGTCACAATGTTATACTCACTGCAGCAGCAAGAAAACAGCAGCAATAGTAGCGAAGCGCTGACTTCTGTTGTTGCTCGGTGCAATATATTTCACTCGACGCTTTTGTTGGTCGAAATAAAATGGACGTTCTCACTGTTATACCTAACGCCACTTGCTCGATTCCACTCTCTCGCCTCCGCCTACAAATCGACAGTTTGTACCGTTGTTGTTTTGTCGACTAAACTTTGGCCTGCCGCCAATGACACAAGCTTGGTTCAAGTGGTTATTGATTGAATTTGTTCGAAACTGGCTTGGGCCGTACATCTAGTTACCGTGCGCTTCCTTTCCGGGCGTTAGTGCTTGTGCCAGACACTCTCACAGTATTTTGTTCTAGCCTACCGCTGGATTTAATTACCATTTTTCTTGCATTAAAGGGTGCACAATCTTTAAAGTTACACCACAATTATATAGTAATAAAATAAGATGACATTTACTTGTATTTCCTCTTTTCAGATTAAGTGCCCTGCGAACAGTATATTTTTTGGAAAGTTCACTTAATCTATTCAAATATATATCTATATCAAATAGTAAAACAACATAACTTTCTTCTTATGAATTATGTCGCGACAGTTAAACCACCAACAGTTGCTGACAAAAAACTCCAGTTGCCGATCAAACCTTTCGATCTGCGTCAACCTTCTTCTAAAAAATTATAACGCAGTATCCAATTATAAAAGTTGGTTCGAGACACTGTATTGAACATGCGAACTTAGTTCAGGGTAATGTGAGAAATTCTTTTCGATCATATTCAGCAAAGGCTTCACTTGCTATAACATTCTTTTTTATGCCCTTTCAAAGTCATTCATCTTTCATCACCCTTAGCGATTTTTACCTCCTTCCCATCAACCGTTTCTGAACCTTACTTTAGTTGGCATTAATGATAATAGCTAAATTCATACACAGAAAGGGGGAGGTAAGTCAACATAATAAAAATAAAAATTCACTAAAATCGCAAAAATATTTCAAAGCTGAAATAACTGATCTTATTTCAGACCTCCTCCAACTTTGTATGAAAATCAATGGAAATACTTATGTATATAAGAGACTTACACAATTTGCAATGATTCTTTTATGAAGACAGGTAAAGTCAACAAGAAGAAGTCTATTGTCAGAAACTGTAGCAGACTTACTTTTATTAAGTACGATTTCAGTACAGGCTATAAGCTCATTTTCTGTGTTTTAGAGTTTTGAAAATTATGGTCAAATCCCAACCACAGTAAGTTTTAGTTTTATGTCTCCAGCAACGCTTGTTTGATAGACCTGGTTGTTGTTGGATTTCGCCCATTTTCAAATTATAGCATAAGTAGCGCTTTTCGGTGCTCCTTTGGCCTTTATAGAATTTGTTAAAATGTATTAATTTTGATTTACAACCTATACCCATGTACATAACTTAAACAGTTTGAAGTTTTTCTAATATTTCATACCACCTCATTTTAGGGAATTTCAATTTTGCGGGAATATCGTAAACGACTTAAAAAAGGCAAACAAAAACTCTTATAGCGAAAATAGCGGAGGAAAACACAACAAAGTTACTTTTTTGCATGTCTTACAGCAACTGTTGTCTTAGTTAGAAATAGAGTAAATCTTACCTTTAGTATTGAGGTGATAGGATTATTGTACTTATCCAGCCAATCGACGTTGGGAAGTGAAATGCTGTGCAATGGGCAATGTTCCTGAATATGTTCTCCGTTGTTCAAGTAGTTGGAAACGTCTGCAAAGAGAACACAAAAACGAAATAGAAATTATATATATGTATAAGGTGTAGTAAAAAGAAATCCATTATTTTTCCAATAGATGGCGTCATTTATTTGTATCTCGCGTTGTATAAGTCCGATCGGGTTCGGCTGGATGACGTTGAAAAGAGGACATTTCGTACAAAATTTCTGACAGTTTTGTGATTGGTGGATTCAGTTTTGTTTGAGCGCGCGACAAAGATGGACACTAGCAAAGAGAAAAGAGCTATATTTTACAGTTTTTCTTCGATAGCGTTTATGGTCCTGATACTGTAACAGCCAATTAAGCGAAATTTTGGATTCCGTTCCAAAAATTTCGATGTGGCTCTGGAAGACCAATTATCGAAAAAATCGACCAAATCTGTGTGGCCCATCAATTTGTCACATTGAGAATGTGTGTGCTTTTGAAGTGCCACATTACAGATAAAATTTATAGCATTCAACAATTTTATTGTGTGTTAGAGAAATTAACGCTAAATACGATGATTGCTGCATATAAGCGAAAGAGCACTACGTGCCAGCCAGCTGTTACAATCCCCCGCAGTGATACTGCGGCTCAATGCTTAGAAACCAGATAGCCATCATGTCCAAGCCACCTAGATATTATCTTTCTATTTTCATTCACAAATCTTTTTTCTATTTACAGACTTTTTTTACACTTTTTCTTTTATGCTTTCAACTGCTTGCTTACAACCCTTTATATGCTTTATTTTATTACTGTCGCTCGGTCTACAAGTTTTAGTAGCAGCCCTGCGCACAACGTCTTAGGCGGTTCATCTTTGTTCTTTAGAATATCTGCCTTATCAACAGCACACCTAAGCCGAGTTCTTTATAAACTTAACAGCAATGTACCTTTTAGAAATCCCGAGCAAACACTTGATGGGTTTGGCGGAACACGTATTCATCCAGCCCGATTTCACCCTGCCGTTACGCGTTGTGTCGCCTTGGTTACTTGCTTGTTGGATTGGAAAAATGCCCGGATGAGTGTTCGTTAGCGGCGACGGTGTGTGACAGAGGTTGACGGCAGCAGATTGGTATATAGATTCATTACACAGATTTTCTGGGGATATATGCTAGGCTATAAGCCGTAATGGGTTCTAGTGCATCTTTTACAAATCTTACTTGAAATTTCCGTGCAAGCTGCAGGCCTAGCCACGCACACATTTACGTACTTAATTTTTAACAAATGTAACTCCAACTCCATTTCAGCAAATTGCTTAAAAGCCGCATGAGCAGGGAACAAACTTACTAAAGTTGTGCAACAGTGCAACTTGCAATATACGTACGATGTAGCAATCATGCAAAGTATTGCACAAATATACTAAATAAGGTGTGGCTAAGTTCGAGCGGAATCGCATATTAGAGTCTTTTGCAATTTGCATGAGTACTAGATTTGTAAATATTTTCAGATATTAGCTGGTCAGTTTAATGACTGGTCAGTTTCAGATGGCTAAAAATTTAAATTTAAATTAAAATTAAATTTAAGTTAATCCAAAGGGCAGAAAACTGAACCAGGATAACTCAAGTTCCTGCAAAGACTTATTGCTCAAAAGGGCATGAGGGACTGACCACCTTTGTTCATAGTTTGATCTAACATATAGCCACAATTATACTAGCCCATGGACAGTGGAAAGATTTTCTTCTTATTTTATATTCTTTTCCTTATTTATTTTTATAAAAACCGATTATTTTGAAAATAATTTAAGTAATTATTTCGTCTGGTAGGTATCGGCATAAGTTAGGGCAGAAAATTCCATGAACTGTCGGCTTATAAACCAGTCTGCCCCCGAGGAATTGCATAACATAGATATCGAAATATTTAGGAATTTTTTATGGATTTCTATTAAACTGAGCAAGCGATGAAACATCTGATTATGTTATATCGTTTTCATTTTAATTTTAGCGCACCATTTGGTTAAAGGTTAAACGTCTTTGTCTTCCTACTTCTTAACCTGATGTAAACGCCATTTGATTGATGACTATTTTCTTCCCGTTTTAGGTGTTATCTTCAAATTTTTTCCAGATAATTATGTATAGCCTTTATAGAATTTTTTCTCTACAAAAGCCAAGAAAGCTAATGCGAGTCAAAGTAACATTTATTTGTAAAACTTGCGAACAGTGTTTAATGTTTAATACTAAACAATCTATAAACTCGAGTTAAGTATGTAGCGTAAGCGAATAATTTTTTTAAACGCAAAATATTCATTCGTTCTGTACAGCATCTTTAAAAATATGATAGCCATTTTTAATTTTTTACTTGAGATTGTGTAAACCGCCTTTGGTTAAGATATGCCAACGAGTTCATTATACCCTATGTAACAAGTTGCGCGACAACAATTAACACTAAACGAAATAGATACATACTCAACTGCTTCGTAACTTCTCTATGCAAGAAAAAGTCGGAAAAACAAAAAGTTTTTGAAAAAAAAATTAAATTAATTTGCTATTGGTATGGTAGAGATGGAGGTGGAATGAAACTGAAAACAAGAAAATGTAATTACCACTAAGGTTGCAAAATTGCAAAAGCATATGCAACAATAAAAGTCCTGCTCAGCCGACTTCCTGTGCATTACCGCTCTACAGTTACTCTGACTCCTAGAATTCCTTTGTACTCCACTTCTCATTAGATTCAAAGCAAGCATATGGGTTTGCAGATTTCATTGACATCAACAATGGTGCATACAGGTAGCATTTACGGATTGAGTTACGTATTTGTGGCTTTACTCATAGGACACTGAGATATCCAATTACTACTGTGAAAGTAAGGCATAAGCTAAGCGCCCCCCTAATAGGCTTCACACGTAGGGTTATATTCATTTTTGTTTTTCATCCCCAGTGGTGATAGGAAAATATTAATATAGAATAATGTCGCAAAATCTAGAAGTACGAAAAAGTTAAAAAAATATTTTCACGAGATGACGACAGTCTAAAAAACAATTTTTTTTTCACTTTTTTCTCCCCTTTCCAATTTTTTAAAAATATTAAAAATTTAAAATTAGAGGTATGGCTAGTTTCAGGCATTGACAAGTTCAAAAAAAGGTTTTCTAAAAATGTCAAGTAAATCGGTCCAGTAAAAGCTGAGAAATTCTGGGTATAGTTATGAAAAGGACAGTTCCGAGTAAAATGCATTTAAAGATTTGTGTAAAGCCGAACCAGTTTGGATGCTGGGTCAGCAAACTACCTGTATCTCCGAAAATTATTTTAATTATAAAATATTATCTTATAGACATATTGAATAGTGATTTAATTGAAAATATAAAAAAATAATTGATTTCTTTTTTCATATTATCAAACTCTCCTGAATTTGCCTGAAAATAAAGTAAGTTTTCTTCGGAGCAAGATTTGCTGAAAATGATGCAAACAAAAGCTACCTCTCTGACAATTTTAAGAAGTTTCTAACGGTCGACAGTTTTATATAAATAAAAACCTATACAAGAGGCGCGTGCACAAATTTATCAGAAGGATATCAAAGCTAATTTTAAAAGTTACCCATTGATTACTTGTTATGTCAACTACTTCTGGTTATTACTGGATATTACCGTGATCCATTATTGTATAATCAAATTCATTCAGTAACCACTAGCATTCATGAATAATTTTAAGGTACTATAACCACAATTTCATCTATGATCTAATAATTGTTCAATTATTTCATGTATCTATATAAATACATAACACATATAGCATATGGATGTGACGAATTACGTATGTATACAAATAAGTACAAATAATGTATGTGACCATTTGAAAGCCAATGATGTATTGATAACCGCAGAAAACGATTACTACAAGGTGTGTTACAAAGTAAACAGTAAAAAAGTAACAAAGTAAACTCTAGTTCCATTTATATGTCGACAAGCGTTAGAATCTGCTATCCTTTATCGACTTCCAGTTAAAATTTCATGACATTTCATCTATTGGAAGTGAAGTTATTGCGTTTTAAGTGTCAGTATATTTTTGTCATCGGTGCGAAAGTGAGCTTCGAACAAAGAGCCAACATTAAATTTTGTTTTAAAATTGGCAAAACTTTTACCGAAACGTTTCAATTGATGAAACAAGTTTATGGGGATGCTTGCCTATCCCGTGGCAGAGTGCACGAGTGGTTTCAACGTTTTCAAAGTGGTCGTGAGGACATAAATGACGATGAACATGTGGGCCAACCAAAATCCGTGATCACCGCAAATTCCATCGAAACTGTGCGTGAATTCATAAAAAATCAGCCGAAATCATCATTGAAATTCATGGAAATAGAATTGAACATCTCCAAAACATCGATTTATCGCATTTTGACCGAACATTTGGGCTTACAAAAGGTTTGTGCACGGTTTGTTACGCACAAATTGACTGACGACCAAAAATTGTTCAGAATTCAACATTCAAAGGACATCATTAAAGATACAAAAAAAGACCTGCACTTCCTTTACAAGATTGTGACTGGTGACGAAACGTGGTGTTTTCAATATGATCCCGAAACGAAATGCCAGAGTGGTGAATGGAAGGCGCCGGACGAGCCGAAACCCAAAAAAATCGGGCCTGGAGAAGTCAAAAGTGAAGACAATGCTGATTTGTTTTTATGATTCCACGGGTATTGTCCACTAAGAATTTGTTCCACCCGACCAAAACGTTAATGCGGTATTCTACCTTAGAGTTTTGAAGCGTTTGGTGTGCCGTATTCGACGTGTTCGGCCCGAATATCGCGAGGATGGAAGTTGTCGTTGATTGCACGAAAATGCGCCGTCCCATCGAGCGTTGCTTGTGGCCGATTATTTGACCAAAAATCACATTTTAACAATCAATCACTCCCCGTATTCACCTGATGTTGCACCGTGCGACTTCAACCTTTTCGGAAAAATGCATTTGCCGATGAAAGGAAAGCGTTATGCAGACGTAGAGGCCATTCAAAAGGCTTGCACCGGCATACTGGCGGCCATACTGGGCAACGAGCTAAAACACTTCGACATGCAAAAGCTGGATCGTGCAAAAAGCTGTATTAAAGCAGAAGGAGACTATTTTGAATAAAATTAATTGATTTTGCCGATAAAACCATTTGTTTTGTATTTTTTTCAAAAGTCCTGTTTACTTTGGAAAGCACCTTGTATTCCTTATTTGTGGCCTCTGCATTGCTTTTGTTGTTTAGATGGACTTGAAAGTTTATTGTCTTATCGTATTCGCAGATGATAAATAATCATGTCACACAACCACGCTCGGTTTCAGATGTGCATCCCGCTGAGTTGAGCTGACCGAGCGCCGAAAATTAACTGTTTAATATTCGCAGATGCATTTTTACTCGCCGTTATATCAATATCGTCGTCATCAGTAGGCATCGGAGCAAAACCTCATGTGATTGCGCCATCAGATGACTCCACCACTCCCAAGCCAAAAAGAAGTATATTTTAACATGTATCATACCAACGTGTATAGGCACTATACATTGTAATATGCTATTGAAATAGCATAATGAAATTAGATGCCACCGTTGGGTATATACATATACTTGTATATATATACATATATTTCATATTAATATCATACAAGTATTACCACGTAAGGAATATTTTTAAATTATGCCGAGTCGTTGATGTTGACAAATGACGAGTCAGCGCAACGGCTCCAAATAAATTAAGCGAAATGTGAATTTATAAGAAGTAAAAAGATTTTTAATAAACTAGACGGTAAGACGCACATTACAGTAACTATCCGTAGTTTTTTTTTAATCATGGAAGCAAATACATAATTCGCGTGTCATTCGCCATTTACCAGACGAAATGCTCGAACGAGTAATCGAGAATTGGACGCAACGGATGGATCATCTGAGACATAACCGCGGTCAATATTGAAAGAGAGAATCTACAGAAAATTATGTGCAAAATAATATTCTTTCGAATAATAATAAGCATTTCTGTTCTGTGTCCTTTTCACTTCACAAAATCAAAAATATTAAAAAGAAGCTCGGTTCGGTTGCACCGAAGCTATAATACCCTTCATAAATACAAAACATTCCTTACAAGAACTTTGCTCGGTCGGTTTGTATGACAGCTATATGCTATATTCACTCGATCTCAAATATACATAAGTTTTCATGTAACAGAAAAAAGTTAAAATTTTGTTGACGATTGTAATGTTTCACCTTCATACATGTGTACAATACAGTTTTACATATGGTTTAAAAGACATGCATAAACAAATATAAATATATACATATACATATATGTGTTCATTCCACTCACCTGTGCTGGTTGTACCAGGCGACCGGAACGGCCATCATGTCGTTACGCTGTCGCCTGGTAGTTAACGAACCGCTTCATAGCAACTTTTGGTCGATGCATAATTAAATGAGGTTTCCCGCCTTTTAGTCATTTTACCAATCGCTCGCTTATCATCCATTGGAAGGCATACATAAATGGGTAAAGAGACTAACAAGCGAGTGAGCAGCTTTTAGTGGCTCCATGGAAGACACAATTATTAGTTAAAGGTTGCCCAGAATCTATAGATAAAGTTGAGAAAAAGCAGATAGAAGAAAAAACAAAGTCAAAAAGGGCGCGTTTCATATAGAAAATATAGCATTATTCATGTCTTTATTAAGACATTAAAAGCAAATTAAAGTAAAGCTTGCAGAATTAAAAGTGTCACACGTGGGATAAGATTGCAAACCACATAACCCTTTTATGTCAGCTTGGTAGGTTGTGTTGACAGTAACCATTCGTTTTTTGATTTAAGTAGAAAAATTCAACAAATCTCAACGAGCATTTCGGAATGAAATCTTATCTAATAGACTAAGTAAAACTTTGAATTACTTAAAAAATGATTATATTTATTATTATAATCAGACATATGAGAATCTTTTGAAAAACTTCAACAATAAATTTTACACAGCGACACCTACCGTAATCTTATAGTCAAAATTTTCATAAAATATTATATCAATTTTACAGATTAACTTTCCGGTATATATTCTATTATTATATCTTGTAAACTTTAACTAGGCACAAAAACCACTAAATTTATTACCTAAAAGTCTTTTCAGTATTCTAGGCAACAATACCGGTCGAATGGAAAAATAATTTTGCTTTGGCAAATTAAATATGAAACATAAAATCTTAACAGCAATCAAAGTGAATTAAGCTTTTACACCGAGGATCAAATCGGCGGGAACGCGGGTCGAGTGAATTTACTTTGTTGAGGTTTTCAGAGGAACAAGTGCGGAAGACTCAAATGGACAAATATGCATACACCGTTTTAAACTATATTATATATGTATATATAAGAATATGGGCTTACTGTCGCATGTGAATGTGTGTATGTACGTATACAATTATGTGTGTTTCCAGGTACAAAAAACAAAAAAAAATTGTGAAATTATTGTGTCAAATGAACCATAATAATAACCCAACGATTACCCTCTCCCGCCTAACCGACGTGCGGAATTAGCCGATTCCGAAAGGCAAGAGAGTTTTTAAGTTTGAGATCTAAAACTGCTCAGCTACATGAAACAAATATTTCAACAGCCAAGATCTAAAGTTACAATATAATAAATTGTTACATTTTCATTTATTAAGAGAAACAATAAAGTTTTTTAATTTTGAAAAGTGAGTCAGATAAGTCAAATGTGCTGGATAGAATAAAATCATGACATATACGGCGGAATGGCTCGTTTTGTTCAAAATTTGATCTACAGGATTTTAGCAGTAAAGATCTAAACTGCATCGAAAGGCGAACCGGGATATTAAATTTAATTTCAGAAGAGAAAGAACTGCAACAGTTCCATCTCAAGTTTCACTAAGAATATTATGCCAACACTTCCTACGACTAGAAAGTTGGTAGATTAATAAGTTTTAAACGACTAGTGTATGGAGGTAGACTTACCCTAGCATCCCATCGGAAATGCGCTAAGGCGAAAAGTAAAATTGTTTTTGAACGACTTTAACTTGTCAGAATGGATTTGGTAGCTAGGTTCCATACCACAGAGCCATATTCCAATATAGGTCTAACCGAAGTTGTATAAAGTGTTAGTAATATACGGATCTCTAAATTCTTTAGACCAACGTTTAACAAAACTGAGGACAGCTTTTGCTTTCAGACCATGGTATCAATATGAAGACTGAAATTAAGCTTAGGTCATATTAACTCCCAAATCAACATAGTAAAACTTCTCTAGAATACCTATAGTGTTTTATTACATAAGCACTCATCTTACATTTATTGAGATTCAATGGCAAATCATTTCTATCACACCATATAACTAATTGTTTAAGTCTGTTTGCAACAGACACCTTCCTCAGTTGAAGTGTATGATTTAAAAAGCTTACGTCGTCAGGGTATAATAAAATTTTGAGAATTCTATTACTGAAGAGTGTCGTTAATAAACAACAGAACAGAATCGGCCAAGATTACTACCTTGCGGAACACCGAAGAAACATTAATTGTATCTGAAGGTGTATCCTCAAATATCACTCGTTGTGTTCTATTATAAAGATAGGAAGATATCCATTGAACGAATCTTGGCTGAAAGCCCAGCAGATCAAGTTTATGTATGAGAATCGAGATATTTACTTGATCGAAAGCTTTGCTAAAGTCTGTGTATATAACCAATGATACATGGTTTACGAATTCAGTAAGTTGTTATAGTCGAATTTTCTTTACGAAATCCATGCTGAGATGAGAAATTAACGGAGGAATCGAAAGGTTATATGGTCAGTGATGATAGCTTCAAAAGTTTAGGTATAACTGATAGTTTTGCGATACCTCTATAGTTTTCAATGTTGGATCTAAATCCACTTTTATGCAAAGGATTATAATGACTGTTTCCTATTGCAGGAAATATACCGTGTTTAAGAGAGGAATTAAATATCCTTGTCAGGCAGGTAAATATATTTGTGCACTATTTTTGGAAGCATGAGGGTATCATGTCTCCATAAACTAAAAGATGGTTTTAACTTATTTAAATTAAATAGGACGTCTTCTCGAAATAATTGAGCGTTAATTAAGTATTCGCAACACACATTGCTGATAAGAAAAGTTTTGGAAGAATTATTACAGTAGTTTGACTGAAAATTTTGCAACATATTGATATAATATCATTGTCCTGAAATGAAGATTTGTATTTCATGCGGAAATTTGGAAATCTGCGTTTGAGTTGACGAAATCATAAACGATTTTGATTACTTACAATATTCTTATTTACTTTATTTAAGTAATTATTATAACATTTTTGTTTGTGTCGACGCAATAGAGAATATTAGAGTAGTCGACAAGTGAACCGGTTTTTAAATGTTTAAAGGCTCGAGTTTTCTGTTTTCAATTTATATAACTCTTTCGAAAACCACGGACTTATACTTTGCTTTTATTAACAATTACTATTGAACATACTTTCAAATAATTTCATAATAATGTTATTAAATGAGACCACCAATCATGTCACATTATAATTAGCATGCTATTGTAGAAAGTTCTGTATTTAACTTTTAAATTAGCTTTTGCAAGTTAAATCGAGTACAGAAGCACGAAGTTTGATGATTATTATCCCGTACATTGCCTGAGATTTCGACAGATATTTCCAAAGCAGGATGATATGAGTCCTCTGGTAGAACAAGAGGATTACTCTGAATAACGGAACACTTTGCACAGGTATCAACGTATACTAAATATAAGCATTTATCAAATTTATTCGGAAACAAATTAATTTGGTTCAGACCCATCTCGGACATTCTTTCGAAAAACTCATTAAAACATGACCGATTGCAAATGGGCACGATATAGTCATCGAAAGGTTTCCACGAAGCACACGGTAAATTGAAATCACCTAATACAATTATTGAATCTGCATTATTTGCCATCGAAGTAGCACTATTTATTAAAGAAGCATGCTGCATGTATACAGATAAGTCCGAATAGCAACTATTAACGTATACTCTAATACATTTAAATTCAAATGAGTCGGTCCCTGGAACAAGAATATTTTCAGATGGAATAGAGGAATGCACGGCAAATAGAACACCTCCACCGATTCTGTTCAGTCGATCACATCTAAAAATTTGAAATTCGCTGTTTAAAATCTCATTATCAAAAATGTGAGGTTTTAACCAAGTTTCTGTAAATCCAATTATATGGAAATTAAAATTGGAACTGTTCAAATACAAGTCAGTTAATTTTGTATTAAGACCTCTAACATTTTGATAATAAATGCTTAGCGAATTTCTACCAATTTTTTATATCGGTGGTTGCTTTTGGTAATTTAACAATGTTTTCCTCAGTTTGACTTCTAAGTTTAGGTTTAAATTCGCGTACAAAAGTCCCAGGTGACCAGAATGAACTATCTAAGATCTTTTTGAATGTTTCAAGAGATACGTCTATTTTAAACGATGATATACTTCTATCATAATTGAAGTTAAATTTACGTATATTGATATCATCGATCGAACATGCTTTTTATAATCTATTTGATCACATACGAGTAGATATACCATTATCGCAGCACACACATACGTATACGAAGACAAACGCATACACCAAAATTAATCTACTCACTTCTACTTAGTGCGTTACTGCCACAGAAGCTCATTGCGTGTAATTGTGTGTAGGACATCAACAACAGGCCAGCAAATGGAACAAAGTAGTAGAACAACAACAACAACAAAAGTAAAATAAAACAACGTAAACGCATAAAAGCGTCCTACTGTTTGAGACTTGCCCGCCACACTATAAAATTGCCTAACTGCCATTATGTTTGCAAGCCTGGCTCACAGCAGGTTTCCTCAGAACAAATGTTCGTGTGTAGAACTGAACAGCGGCCTCGCAGCGGTATACACGGAGGTAAGGTGTGCTTTCTTTTTGGCTTTTGCTGTTTCATTAGAAACTTAACCAAGAATATATGAGAATTCCAACGGATTTTTATTTGCATTACTCAAGACATTCAATTCAGTATATTTGTTTTAGAATAGCTTGGCAAAAGTATTCAGCGATTTGAAATAGTTTTGGTACTACATTACTTTTATCTTATTATCGAAATGTGATGTTACTGTTGACAATGCGTGTTCGCCGTAAGAGCCGATATGTGGTTCAAAGGTACACTTGCAATTATAAAATTAAAAGTTTGGGAAATATTGCGAGAAGTCTGCAGGATTTTTCTTCCCAATTTAGTATATTAATTAGACATTTGTTATGAAGCAAAATATTGGTTTTTATATAAAGTAGTTCGGGTTCACAAGAAGAGAACGCGAAGAAGGCAGACACTAAAATTGAGAAACTGTACTAGTACTATAGGGTTTCCATATGCTATTACTCGTGTGAAGTTTTGTTTCAATATTTTTAATAATTCTTGCTCTATATGCTGTAAATGCAGATAAAAAATGGAAATTCGCGAGTCTTATTTGGTTCTGATGGGTTAAGTAGTTTATTAAAACTGATTACTCTTTGCCAGAGTAATCGATTAATAGATCGTTGTCTGCATAATCGAGACGAACCGAGTATATTTTGCAATCAAACAGAGTGGAATACTTTGGCTGATGTTTTTGTCAATTTTTTTATGCTTGCAATATGTTGCTACAGAATATACTAATTTTGTTAAACACTTCTAAAAGCGTCAGAGACACAAAATTTTACATCTCATCTGGGATGCTACAAGAGGGCTTGCCAATGGGCGTAATACCGCCCACCTTTAAGTGAAATTATAACCGCGACTACTTTAGGTGTAACACAACTTTTTCATTCCAATTCTTTCACTTTCCAGTATGCAAATCAAGTACTAATAAATATATCGGTAAAAAACTTTGCACAATTAGTATTTTTAATGTATGCCATCATAACTGTTCAATCCCCCAGATACCGAAAATGTGGACCGCAATGCGTATGTCTGAATTTTTTTTGCAGAAAATTACGGACAATGTGTGAGATATACCTATAACTGAAATGGGGTGGGCTCAATCAAGTCAATACTTCCTTTAGCCTCCATATATAATCGGTGCCTGCTCTAGTTTAATCGATATTATTAGAAGACATATTTTGCCAGCCCTAAATGTCAGTTGACAATTTGTTTACATTCCATAATTGGCCTAAACGTACCCTACAAGAAACTGCTGATGGGTTCACCAATACACTCACATTTGATATGTTAGAACTGTTAATTTACATTTGCATTTTTAAATTCAGAACTATCCACTGCTTAGAGAAAGACGTACGCAGAGCTATTGAGAGGAGGAGATGGCATCAAGTGAAAATTAATTTTTATATTTTTAGATTTTCATATTTTATTATATTTTTTGTTGCATTCCTTTTTATATTCAAGTATATTAATATAACTAATTCTGATTAAAAGTTTGAAATTAATTAAAGAAATAAAAATTGTATTATCTACTGCGCAAAAGAATTTTTCACTTCTGATAGCGTTTCAGTCATAACTGCAATGACTCAGAAAAAGACATGAGAGTGAGCAGTATAGATATATAGTGAATCAAGTCCGAATACCCATGTGTTAAAGAGAGATGGCTCTTAAGAAAATGATAGAAACTTTGTTCTGCGCGCTGACAAAATTTTTTCAGCTATGACTGTCATATTACCCATCAGATGACCGTCACTGTTCTTGTAAGGTACACAACAAATGTAAACAAATAGATGTGTGAACTGTCAATGAAAACTCATCGAAAACACACAATGTCAATATATTACATTTAGCAACTATGGTAAATCATATGCCACACATCAACCGTATAATAATACCGTTGACCGAATGTATTATTTAGGTAATCCTAGTTAAAGTGATTTTATTCACTTGGAATTTCTGAACGTTATGCACACATTTTTTGAGTTATTTGTTTTTCTACGATGAAATTTCATTTTATTTTAGACAATCTCTATTGTGAAAAAACAAATTTTACACTCACAGTAACGGTCGTCGAACCTTCACTTAAAAATGCTCAAACTTTATAATGGACAATTTCTAAATCATTTTACAAACGGAACATTGGCACAACACACTCTATTAGAGTTGACAAATCAGAGCAAAAGTGTCAAATTAACAGAGTAAACCCAAATCAACAAAGAAAAAGTGAAATAGAGCAAAAAATATAAAATATATAATTTTCAAAGATTCTTCTACGGAATACCATTAGTTTTTTCTTTATTGACAGCAACTGCCGCAATGATTTGAATCAAAACCGAAGAAAAGGGCCTACATATCTATTTATTTTCACATGACTATTGTTCTCCGTGGGATGGTAGAAATTTGTAAAGAAGGTGTAATCAATCCAATTACGAAATTTGCGAATAATACAATTTTTTAAATTTAAAAATGATAGAACCAATTATAGAAAAATTTATTTATTTAATACCCTATTACGGCTTTCAATTCCACTCAGTTGAATTATAGTTAAAACAATTCAACTTCAGATCAACCAAACGCTTTTTCAATATTTCAAACTTCAACTATTTTCCGTCAAAGTTTTATTGGTGTTGCCTAAAAAGTGAAAATTTGACAAATAATAAAACAACTGGAAACTTTTAAGCGAAAAATCACTCAAATCCATTGGGAATTCCTAACACCAAGTAAGCTAAGGTTTTATTGATAAATTATTTATATTATAAAAGTTGGGCTGGCGCCAATTACGATATTTATAGTTGTTAAGGAGGTATTATTTTAATGAGCTCCATATGTGTGCACAGTGGATTAAAACACAATTGCCTGAGAAGGAAAAAAACACTTAAAATTTTTAATTTTACTCAAAAACCAACCAGATTCCTTGAAATAGTAGATTGTATCGCCTCTTTATGTTCGAAACATTGACCACCGTCGCTTAATTTAATTTTTACTCTTTCCAAATTGTGGCTTGCCTTTGTCAGTTTCGAGACATTTCTCCCTGTGCTCAACAAAATTCGACCTTGTATTTGTGCTGTTTAAAATAGTTTGAAATTACAATATATTATATATAAAATAGTTCCACATTTTCCATTTCTATTAATTTTTTTGAGTCGCAAATCAAGCGTGATTTGTTCAAGAAAAATTTATGTACCTTGTGTTTGTGCCCAAATCAGATATATGGCAACTCTTTAACAGAAAATTGTAAAATCCGTTATACCTTATTCCAAAGAGGAATTATTAAATATTAGTATCCCCCACTATTTTTAACTTAAACCGATTACGAGAATTCAATATAGATACTTTGTATACTAAGCGATATATTTTATTGGAATTAGTAAGCGGCTTCTCAAACTGGTGAGCACTTAATAATTAATGTTGATTTCGAAAAACTATCGCCATACGTAACAAAGCTAATTTAGTATTAAAAGATGCAAAAGTAGTTCATGACTTTTGGTTAATTATGTTAATTTCATTTTGTTTAGCTTCACTTTACTTTATTTTTTCACTGTTTTATTTAATTTTTTTATTTTATATAATTTTTTTAAATTAATTAATTTTTTTTTAATTTTATTTTGCACACAATTATGAAATAATTACACACACGCATACATAAACAACTACGCACACGCGATTATGGATTTGGCTACTTTTTGCTTGTGTTACTATTTAATTTTTTGCTTATGTATGTGTATACGAGTATGTGTGTGTCTATGTGTTAATTAGTATATATATATAGCCGATGCAAGTCTCACAAACATCGTTACGATTCCGTTTCCGGTGACATTCACAACAGTTTCTCTGCACAAACACAAACACATCCACATTAAATGCTGTCAAATTGAAAGTAACTCGAACCGTTACTTAATTACTTGTTTTACTGACGTTAGCGCTTAATTAACGGTAAATTTTCGTAGGCGGCGAATTGTGGCTCAGCCGCAGCGTATTTGACAGCACATTAAACTCGAGCATGTGTGTGTTTGCTTTCGATATATTTGTTAAATTTTAAATCCATTTGTTGTACTGTAATTGTTATTATTGTTGTTATTTCACTAGCAGTTACTGTCGTAGGCTCATGTCACAGCAAATGCGAAATACATATGTCAGAGGCAATTAGCAACTCTTTACATCACCGGATTATCGACCTACTCGTCTGTCACACTGTCTAGTTGATAGTCGAGGCAAACAATTTTAGTTTCAAGACTAACACACAACACGTTTTTGTATTTAATATTTATATATAATACATACAAGCATTTTGCTTTACCCACCGGTTTTTTTTTTATACATAACACCATACAATAATCCAAAAAAAGTTCAAAATTAGCATAGCAATACACGCAAACAAGTGTTGTTGTTATCAAATATTTCCGTTATAATTCCTTCAGTTAAATGTAACAGTTATGTTGACAGCGCGACGATGACTGAAGGATGCAGTGGTCGAACGAGTTGGTACCAAGCTCAAGCCACGTGCAAATAACAACAGCAACATAAAGGTGCTCTTACGAGAGCGACTGTGGTGAATTTCGATTAAGCTTGCTTTGAGAGAAATCACGAGAGCATGAAAATAATGCTCTGAGGTGGCTGATAGTAATTGGAAGCAGGATGCGATTTCTAATTGGTATTTGTAAACAGTTATCTAAATGTTGAGAGCGAGCGCAACTCGCAGAGCAGGATTGAGTGACAAGGACATTTCATTAATAGATATGTACAAGTATATATCTGTACCTTATTTTTATAAATAGAGAGCATGATATATTTATAAAAAAGCTTCGTGAAAGACTACGTACATATGTATAGATATATATGTATCTTACCTATATACATAAACATTTATTATATAGTACGTCAAGCTTTGCATATGTTTCATTTTTTGAAAGATAACGAAGCCAGCTTTTTCAATAACCTTGTGATTTTTTCAGGAAGTTATGGATATAAATATAGCCACCATAATTTTTACTTCGTAATTAGACTCATAGCCCATCAGGATAGAAAGGGATCTTAATGTCTTTGTTTGAAACGGTCAGAAAATCAAGCTGCTCAGTTGGCGGAACCGCCAATAGCGTACCGCTATCTACTATCCGTAGGAAAATCGTTTGAAAACAATTATTGTTAACTTATGCACTAAGTAGAAAAATATACAAGTTCATTTCATCGGATTCTTGGTTCTTTTTTTCGAGTGATGTACCTGCTTGCGTCAATGTTGCTGCTCTCTATATAAGTCCTCAGATAGTCTTTATATTCGTCTTTTTTCAACACCTTACAAATCGCTCGAATCCACCTGTCCTCCTGCTGAGCTTACCTCAACCTATGCATCACCGAATCCTCTAACAACAGACATTGCAGCCTACTTAACGCGTCCACGTGCCGCATTCTTGAATCACTGCGATGTTAAATCTCATATTCATACTCCTGCAATGTAATGCTATATACAAGTTGCAAAAAGTCTATATATCTTCAAATATATTAGTATTAGTGACCTTAAACTGCCATAACTTCTGCCTTTCCGGTCACGCGCCTACAGCTGATTTCCGTCTGCACACTCACATCAACTGTAGTATTTTGTGGAACACGAGTTTATGGAAGTAGTTCATTGTAAACACATATTTGTATATATGGATGTAAATGTATATATTTTAACGGTATATAAGTATATAGCTTACGTCATATGTACGCTATGAGCTTTCACCGCTCTCTTTTCATTACCCACTGTTATAGCAAGTCCTGAACTAGAAAGCACGTAGGCGCCAAGTTCATAACATACTCTCAGGCGGGGAAAGTGAATGTGTTCTGTGAACTTTTGTTGGCTGTTTCAATCATAACACCTGACCCATACTCCTCACATACAGACAATTGCGCTGCTAGGAGGCTATGGAAGCAGAAGCAGGAAGACCAATAACAATAACACGATACTTTTATTTAATATTTGTAGCATCTTTGGCATATCTTAGCATTTTTATACTCTGAACTCTAGTTTGCCACGAAGTTTGTAACCCCAAAAAGGAAACGTCGGAGACTCTATATATGGTATACCTTCTGCTCAAATATAAACGAGACTGGCTCAAACAACAAAAACGGTTAATTATTCTTCAATATTTATTATATCCCCTTCAAAATAGTCACCATTAGAGGCGATACACATATGCCACCTTTTTTTCCAATCTTCCTAACACTTCTGGTAGGCCGCTTTAGGTATGGCTTTCAGTTCCTTTTTCGAATTCTCTTTTATGACTTCAATCGACTGAAAATGCTTTCCACGAAGCGGCAATTTGAGTTTAGGGGAAAAAAAAAGTCACACGGTGCCATGTCGGGTGAATACGGTGCATTCGGAACAATATTTACGTTGTTTTTGGTCAAATAATCGCGTACAAGACGAGACGTATGAGCTGTATTTTGGAACAAATCGAGCAGACACACGTCTCATGCCCAAAACATCGTGAATAATGCTATGAGCGGATCCATTTGATATGTTGAGCTCACTAGCTATCTCTATTTCAGTCACACGACGATTTTCTAACACAATTTTCTTTACTTTTTCGATGTTTTTTTCGTTTATTGACGTTGCTGTACGACGATCATGGGGCAAGTTCTCCAGCGATGTACGGCCGTCCTTGAACGACTTATACCAATCAAAAATACGTGCACGTGATAGGCAAGACTCCCCATATGCCTTCTGCAACATTTTTATTGCGTCCGTCGCACTTATTCCATTGGAATAACAAAATTTCAAACAAACACTTTTTGCTCAACGTTAATTTCCATAGTAAAATTCGAAAAACACACTCGAGGTTGACTTGTTTATAGTGCCTTAAAAAAAAAACTATGTGACAGATCGCGCTCAAATTTGACATGTAAACATATAACAGTCCTGCCAACCTAAGCAAAAAAAAGTATGGCCATATGTCATGTCCTTGTCGAGTTATGGATAAAGTCTCGTTTTGCGTTGAGCAGAAGGTATAATTGATCAGCGTGACGAGCTGAGTCGATTTAACTATGTCCGTCTGTCCGTCTGTCCGTCCGTCCGTCTGTATATATGCAAACTAGTCCCTCAGTTTTTGAGATATCGACCAGAAATTTTGCGCACGTCCTTTCTCCTCAAGACGCTATTCATTTGTCGGAACCGCCGATATCGAACCACTTCATGCTATAAAAATGCACCTGTGAAGGGTATTATAGTTTCGGTGCAACCGACGTTAATGTTTTTTTTGTTGTAACTTCAGCTTGCAACATCAACTTCCGTTTTGCCAGCGTTGACCGAACATTATTTATATGTGCGTTATGATGTTATTGTATTTCCTATTTACTAAATTAATATTATATTACTGTATATAATGCAGATGTATACAAAACTTATTTCTGCGGTTTTCCTTCTGTGTATACTTTTAGGATTTCTCATCTAACTAAGGAAACAGTCATAAGGAACGGATAAAGGTGATATCACCACGGTCAGCACTTCTAGGTAGGAAATTTATTATTTATAATTTAAACCTTGATTGAGGTAAATATGAAATCCGATACAGAATAACAAAATATAGGTTGAGACAGGAAAAAGCAGTGAAAAATATTTTTCTTTAAATTTTACACACTGCTACTTTTATGACCGCCAGTGTATTTTTACCCGTACGTGCCAATTTTGCTTTAATGACAAAAAGCCCATTAAGAAATTTAATTGCAGTCTTCAACTTCTCAATAATTTGAATATTAACCAATCGCGAAAGGCCATGCACATTGCCCCCATGCTGTTAAATGGCGAAATACCGACATTAAAAGGTCATAAAAGTCATTTCGTCGACGCCTGACTTTGTACAAAATTGCCATCGTAATACGACAAAAGACGCTCAGGAATTTTTTTCAAAGTATGTGTGTCTATAAATAGGTACAAATAGAAGTTTATATAAATAAATGTTTTTATGTTGGAAGTATCTACAAAGTAGCTGAAATATACTCTCCCCCCATGCGAAGATGTTGAACTTAAAAATTTATAATGGTAACAATTCAATTTGTGCAAAGCGACCCAGAAAAGCTCCTAATCGAAAGTGGAATATGAGGTTGCTAGAATGTTAATTACGAAAATACAGCTAGTAGAAAACGTGAAGCTGCACAAACACACGAGCATCCAGCAATTTCATCCAATCTTTCTACCGTGGCGAGTCAACTTGATCATGACTATACAAGGTTGAAAGCCATGGAAGCCATTAAATATTGCCAGTAATAGTTCGGTGAACATTGGTACCGTCATCGTGCCAAAGTATTCTCGCTCGTATTATACTATTGCAACAATTGCGCATCACTTCCTCGCTAGCAAAACGGAAAAGAGAAATATACAAAACACTACAACAAAAATTTAGACTAACAAGAAATGAACAAGCATCAAAGCAAATACCAAAGGCGAGAAGCTGCTTAGCTTGCTGCATACGGTGCAGCCGCTAGTGACGAAATTACCTTGTACACCAAAAATAAAAATTAAAACAAAGTTTTAAATATATTGAGCTGCAAATATACACATATATAGTGATAGACTTGTTTATTGAAACTACAGAATATACACCCACTCACGTACGCCTCGGCTTCAAATGTGATATGCTTGAAAACTGTTATAACAAAAGTTGACATCGCTCAATAGTTGGCACAAAATTAAGTATTAAGTTAGTGTAAAAATTTAAAAATAATTATTTTTTTGTACTCTTGCAATGGACAGTACAAAAAAAAAATAAAACATCAATCATGTTATCGCCTCCAAATTCGGTCCAATTTTTGGCTCGTTATCCCTGTTTTTCAAATAAATATACCTAGGTATACAATATAAATAGGTTACCAGTTAAAGTAGAAGTAATTTCGGTCAGTAACTTCTATATTGCACAAAACAATATAAACCATCCTGGAATATGATAATCGACACAAAATAGTACAATCGCTCCAAGAATAAAACTTCTGCTGTTCTTTATTTAGGTATACATAAGTATCCGTATTTATATTGAGTTCAGAGTGAGCGAAATTCCAGTTAAATTCAATTCTTTTTACGCACAGAGACTCTGTTTTTTGAGCCTGTTGAACAATATCTAATTATCGAGCTTCAAAGAGGTGGCTCCGATTTTAATCTTCATGACATTTCATTCCATTTAAGAAATATATTCAGTTTACAGAACTGGATACTCGAAATATTAGAGGCATGCCGTAATTACGCCATCCTTGAAAAACGATTCCTTACTTTTCAAGGTTGTAAAAGACACATTTGATAGTAACACTTTTCTAAATATTTTGAAAAGGCAGGGTAGGCTTATTGGTCTACAAGAAGACGCCTGTGCGTGTTCTTTCCCGAGTTTATCTATCGCAATGATCTGTGACTTTTTCAATGAATTTGGATAATATTCGAAACTGAAAATTGCAACCTTGAAAGAGTAAATG